GATATTCCTAGGAATAGCGCCCCCGGGGGACGAATATCTTAGGAATATCGCCCCCAGAGGGGCGAATGCCCCAGGAATATCGCTCCCCCTTTAGGATATTCGCCCCCCATATATGCGATACCGATGTGGCCGGATTATTCAAATAATTTTGTGATACTTTCATCTTATTGGTGCCTTAAGGCCCACACAGACCGGACGCTATTTGGCAACGTGACGCAAATTTTCAGTTTTCACTCATTCATTGTTTTTCAAATATTCGGGACCACTTAAGTAGCAATTTTAGCTATTTGGTCTGCATACCTTGTAAAATTTTTATCCGTTGACGGTTTTATTTGTTTTTGAAAACTGAAAATTCGCGTCGCGTTGCCGAATCGCGTCCGGCCTGTGTGGGCCTTTATAGGTTTGAGAATTTAACTTTGCAAAACTAAAGCTTTTTTGTCTTTTTTGAAACGTATTATTGGAGTATTGGCAAGTTTTACCATTCAGAGATTTACAAACTAATATTGCGTTATGAAACTGTAAAAGACAGTTTCATGTATATTACGCGCATTCGCTAATGAGTAATGACAACTTATAAGCCATACATTTTCCGATAATGACAAAACGCTTGTGTAGCGTTTAGTCGCTCTCAGTGACTAATAAATTTTTTTGAGGGGGGGGGGGGCAAAATGGGGGGGATAATTTGCCCCCCCCCCTGGCGCCACCACTGTGCACAGTAGATAAACATACTTTTAAATTAAGTTATTACTTGTTTTAGTAATGTAAACTTCAAAAGTTTTCCAGAGGAACGTTTTTTCTAACCCACCTCCCCCTTTACTGTAGATGTATCGTTGTACCAATATTGATATTGGACGCCCTGTTTTAGGACCCTAAAGGCCTGCTAGTGATGTGTGTATAATAGTCTGTATATACTTCCTATGGATGAATTTTGGCAATTTGGTATTTTCGTTCAAAATTGTGTCAACAGACGCCAATTTTGGCACACTGTGTGAGAGCCCGCAACCACCCTGAGAAAATAGAGTTGCACGGCCGTCAATTGCGTTGAAAAAAGAATACTGTAGCTCGGCAGAAAAAAAAAGGTCAGTAGTAGGGAAACCACAACCACATTATTGATGTATATATTGTATATTTCGTTTTTTCGTAAATACACAGCACACAGAAAATGTCCAATGTCCAACCATTATTTCAGGCTCTGCTGTTTATATTACAATATAGGTCTTTATAATTCATTCTGTATTTTCTCCGTCATGACAAATACCTGTAGGGTAATAACCCAACATGTTGACAAAGTGTATTGTGTGCGCCTGACTGCCTGTGCCCCACTGCCCCCGGTTGAAAGCATGCACAGCTACAAATGCCCGGTCATGGCAAGTACATTAGTCAATCTCGTACCCAGAGCAATGCCTGTGCGCGGGCTAGGATGGCATATTGATAACAACTTGTTCCAGTCCTTCCAGACTTGTCAAGAACTTGTCAGGTTAATGAATGTCAGCAAGTTAGATTACTCTGACAGAGTTTTGTGTGTTTATTTACCCCACACTTTATATTATACATACCCAAATATTTTTCGTCTGAAAGTTGCATTTTGCTTCTTTCTGAGTCCATGATTTGTTTACATCCAGTGTTTTAGAATGTTTTAGTGTTTACATCTTTACATCGTGTTTGGCTGCAGTTTGTAATCAGTGCTCTCACAATCAAATTTTCGAATTCCTTAGAAAAAGCTCGAAAATTCCTCAGATTTCCTTAAAATTCCTTAAATTGGTAAAATTACTAATCACATAGTTGCAAAAAGTGTTTTTTACTTCTTTTTGCTGTTTTTCAATTTTTCAACCTTGTTTCTAAGCACTAAAAACTGAAAACATTTGATTGTTAGCAAAATGCCATCAAGAAAACATTCAACATGATGTAATTTTAATCGTTGCTGCATGAAGAGCTTAGAAAATCAGTAGATTTTAGAAGAAACAGCATATACTGACATTGAACTTTTGAGAATTTTAATCGAAAGACAGCCATATGTACATTTATGACATGAGAACATACGAATATATGTAATTATGTGCGTATAATGTTCCTACTTTCAAGTTTAAATTGCATTTGCGTGGCGTGGTTATCCTCCGTCCAACGGTTTTAGTCCAGGATAAAATGTTTCGGAAATTCCTTAAAAAAATCCTCAAAAACCTAAATTCCTTAAAAAAATCCTTAAAACTCTTCAAAATTCGTATTTTTAAGGAGAATTCCTTAAAAGTGAGAGCACTGTTTGTAATGGTCATACTTCATGTAACCACAACCACTGGTAAACAACGCGGCTGGTTTCTACGGGGGCTAATAACAATTCATCTGATTGGCCAAAAAGAAATTTTGTCAAAATCTGGCCAATAAGAATGAAGCTTATAATCAACGCTCATTTTCATTTCAAATATGGCGGCCGAAACAGAATACATAGAAAACGAAGAGTTCTATACGAATTTATTACTTTCACTTGAGAAAGACGGCCAAAACTTAGCTTCAGCGACGAACGACGATGGCAAGTATATCCTACCGAAACCTGGGTTTGTTATTAAGACAAAAAACGAAGCAGATGAGAAAATTTTTATAAATATTTTATCGAGTTGTGAACTGCCGTCGCCAAAGGACATCAGCGAGGTTGAACTGCAACAGTTACTTGAAGATCCAGATGGGACTCAGTTCAAAGTTCCTCTGGCACTTGGAGAGCCACATGCTGAAACTGATAAAAGTGGAAAAGGTGTTTATTCATAATATTTCTTGGAAATTTATTCATATTTTTTTACGCCGTGGTTATTCGTACTGGAACAGTACGCCGAGTTTGATTTGCTATTCGTACTGCAGT